AGAGTACATTTCCTTTCTTGTGTAGAGTGCCCCCCAGATGTAGGTGTTGCTTGTCCTGAACTGGGTTAACAATCCTTGTGTGTTATTTACTGTTTTTTTGTGATTCATTAATTTTGTCATAGTATGTTAAATCTGGTCCAACATTTGTTCCTTGAGGACCATTATTACAATTGGTATCAGATTAGGCACCATATTATGTTTGGGTGAGCTTCAGGAAAGATATTTTATATACATATGGACAACACAAATGATGAAGGGTCTGTCAATAGACCACTTGTTTTATATGGCACTAATTATAATTATTGGAAAGCTAAGATGATTGTCTTTCTTAAATTCATAGACAGTAAAACTTGGAAGGATGTGATTAAAGGTTGGAAATAATCTGTGATTACTTCTCAAGATGGTACAACAAGTTTAAAGCCTGAAGCTTATTGGTCAAAAGATGAAGATGATGAAGCTTTTAGAAACAACAAAGGGTTGAATGATATATTCAATAGTATTGACAAGAACATGTTCAAACTAATCAAAACATGTACTGAAGCTATAGAGGCTTGGAAAATTCTCAAGACTGCTCATGAAGGCACATCCAAAGTGAGTATGTAAAGGTTCCATCTCCTCACAACACAATTTGAGAATCTGAGAATGAAAGAAGATAAACCCATCTTTGATTTTAACATCGGACTTTGGGAGATAGCCAACACTTCATTTTCCTTAGAAGAGAAGATGTCTGAAGAAAAACTTGTCAGAAAAATTCTAAGATCTCTACCTAGGAAGTTTTACATGAAGGTTACAGGTATTGAAAAAGACCAAGACTATTACTTAAGAGGATGAAGATCGAGGGGAAATCCTATTAGATGTTATAATACTTATTGGAAGAAAGTTCAACAAATTCTTAAGAAGGATGGACAACCAATGGAAGAAAAATGTCCAAGAAAAAGGGTCATACATTAGTTCCCATAAAAAGAGAAAATTTGAAGACAAACCTAACAAAGGCAAAGGAGTTCAATGTCATGAATATGAATGGTTTGACCACTTTAAACTTGAATATCCTACCTTTCTAAAGAAACATAAAAAGGGATTGTCAATCAATTGGTATGATTCTCATGATGAGAGTGAAAGGGAAATAACTAACAATGTAATGGCTTTCACTAGAAAGTATGAGTCTGAAGGAGACTCTAGTGATGAACACATGACCGAAGGGGAGATGGCTACAACATTCAGGCTTTTATACAACAAGTGGAAGGAAGCTTGTGTGACAGGATTAAATTATAAGAAGACCATAAGTGATCTTCTTCAAGAAAAAGAGAAACTTCTTTCAACCATCACTAGGCTAGAAAAGGAAGTAAACTTGTTGAATGTCAAACTTGAGAATCTGATCAAGCTTGAATACATGTTGAACAATGGTCCAGATATGTTCGATGTTATAACAGGGGATATGAATTTGTAGGGTTTGGCTACATTTCCAAGAACAAGAAATCATAAACTCCCTTTAAGAAGTTGGTTGCTCCTGAAAAGAAACATGAGTTTCTAATGAAGGATCACATGGTTCAGCATCCTTATCAACATGTGTACCTTCAGAACAAAGGCAATAAGAAAACATCTTAGAGGTGTCACCGTTGTAGTAGATATGGACATATAAGACCTTTTTTCTTTAAATTGTATGGATATCCTTAATCTTATAGTCAACCAGAGTTCAATAGAAAGAAAGGGAAGAAAAATCAAGCTAAGAAAGTATGGAAACCCAAGGAAAATGTCATTTGTCTCATTGCTTATACCTCTCTTAGAGTTTCTTCAAGAGAAGATTGCTTTTTTGATCGTGGATGATCATATTTTTGTCTTACAACTCTAACTTCATCTTCTTGAGGTTATTTCTTGTTGGCACTACACTCACTTACAAAATGACCAAGCTTTTAACAACTAAAGCACTGCACATTGCTTTTGTCACCTTTCTTTCTCCCCCCTATTCCTCTAATGTTCCCACCTCTAGAGTTATATGATCCACCAACACAATTTCCATTGCTTTCACCCTTTTGAAATGTTGAATATTTGAAATTTTGAGATTCTCTTCCACCAAAATTCTAAAAGTTTCCTAAACCTTTGTTCATAGGCCATTTTTCTTTCGCCTTCTTGTCTTTTTCATTGAAACAGGCTTGCAAAGCAATCTCCGTCTTTGCCGTATCAACATTATTTTCCTCTATTTTCTGCTCATGAGCTTCAAGAGAGCTTTGCAACTCCTCCTTGCTCATCATCGTAAGATCCTTTGATTTCTCAATTGCAACTACTACATTTTCAAATATCGACATCAAATAATGCAAGATCTTGCAACATATTTCTCTTTAATCGTTTCTCCACACCCTTTACTTGGTTCACGAATCTTGCAATTCCTGTCGTGAATTTACTAATTGTTTCCTTTTCTTCCATTTGAATCAACTCCAAATGCCTCTTGTGAGTTTGTCACCTCACCACCTTTGCCTTATCAGCTCATGCATAACTTTTCTCCAAAATTTCTCAAACTTCTATTGAGGTTGTGCAATCATCAACCTTCTCAAAATTATCTGCATCAATATATTGATGAATCAGCTATAACGCCTTGTAATATTATGTCTTCTCTTCATTATGTGTACTCTTTTGTGCAGTCGTTGCACCTTTACTAGTGGAATAACATTGGTCTTGATCACTTCAAGAACATCTTGATAACTAAACAACACAATCATCTGCTTGCACCACTTATCGCAGTTCTTCGCATCAAGAATTGGGAGATTCACAGGGATTCGTTCATTGAAAATGAAAAATATTTTTTCACTCTAAGTGTTTGATGGATCGAACCAAACTCTTGACGTCAAATGTTAGAATAAGGAACCAAAAGGATGGTGATTTTCAATGTGGAGAGGGAGAAAAGTAATTATTGAGGGTGAAAAATGGTGAACTTCCATTATTGAGATATCCAAGGGGAATATATACATTTACATAGAGTGAGGTACAAGTAACAAATAAAGAAGAAGAAAAACTTACAGCGGTAACCGATTACAATCCCAAAATACTCGGTTATATGCTAAATTATAATGGGTGTAACCGGTTAGACAAAAAGTAACCAATTACCAACCAATTTTATTTGAACTGTAACTGATTACAAACAGAGTATAACCGATTACCAAACAATTTTATTTCAATTGTAACTACTTACAGACAAAGTGTAACTGATTATTAAATAATTCTATTTCACCCGTAACCGACTACAGTCCCACACAAACCGATTACAACACTTAAATTAGACTATTCAATCAAACAAAAATATATTTTTGTATTGGTGTGTTCATCTGTATTTCGAAATTTATAGAACCATAGATACATTCAATATCATTTAAATTAGAAAGAAAATACATCTCCCATTCCAGAAACTTAGCAAAATAAGTATTTGTTGACAAAATAGTAAAAATTAAATATAGAGAATGTTGCATGAGTAATTCTAGAAAAATGAATTTCACTTTGAAAGATGGAAACTAGTTCCACATCTTACAAGATCAGTTGCTAAAAACAATTAAAAAAAAAAATACAAATTTGGTGAAACAAACACTCTTAAAAATTTGAAAATACTTTCTGCAAAATTGTGTATAATGAATCAAGCAAGCAAATTTAGAAACTTATCATTATACCTTATTTTGATCAGCATGTGTAGTTGCTAATATATCCATGCATGTTTGGGAACAAAGATAATGTTGTGATAGGCAAATCAAGTTGTATAGAATCTATCCTCACATCCCAAATTCTAAGACTTCCATGACAGAAGCCACTTCAAATCCTCACTGAAACATAAATATGTTATAAGTATGATTATGTGACCTTCAAATTTAGGAACAAATCTGAGAGCCACGACATCAAACAAATTTCATCTATATTGAATCAATTGATTGAAATAACAAACATAACTTAGTTGAGAACCAAATTGATAAACAATTTAATGAGATTCACCTCGATATAGTAGAGGTTCATGCTGCCATAATTAATTGACTTTAATAAGAGAATCACTATACACTACACTGATAGAGCTAATCATTTGAAAAATTAAACAAATTAAATATAATCACATATGTCAATGTGTTGGACACTGACATGTGTCAGATACCATATACCGCATTTGTTATGAGGTATAGGTGTTATAGAGGTGACTATTATTTTCAAGAGAATTGAAATTCATCATAACCCTTCAATCCATTCATGTCTCAAGAATATGCATTATGCAGTAAGAACTTATTTTCTCTATTCATAGCTCATATAGATTACTTAAACAAGAAAGAATTAGAAATTTACAAACACATGGATACAGAAATATGAAAAGTAATGAATATTCATATTACCATTATAACAATGGTAAACAATTTTAACAGCAGAACAACCAATCTACCATATGTATTCAAGCATCAAATTCAATTTTTTTTAGAGAGAAAAAAAATGCATGAAATACTCATAAAAATAACGTAGAGATGGTTGTTATAGGGAAACGTTATATTTGTCTCGCTTGATCTATTTTAATTTTTCATTTCATTTAATGTGAACAATATGTTTCATTCTTATTAAAAGTTGAAATTTGATGTACACTTTGAATGTATACATGGTGGTAACAGATACTTATTTATTTAAAAATAAAAATGTTCAATAAAATTATTGTGAATAGATTTTATGAACATTTTTAGTTAAGTAGCAATACGTGAGACTTTTTATATTTGAATCTTTGTAAAATTGAGTTATGGAGAGAGGGACAGGTCTCAAGATTTCAAGGTCTTTGATCATAAACAACTTCTTTATACTATTTTACTGTACTTTAATACACAGAATATCACAACTACAAATTTCAGCAGTTCAATAATACAATTATAAAACCTATTATTACTAAAGATAACTTCAATATAAAGAAAATAAGATTGAATAACATTATCAATCACAAAAGATAAAACCCAATAGCTAGATTCATAAGTATATACCAGAGATAGGCGGCAACATACTCAATTGACCACTTGTGTGTCGCTTTTACCTCCCAAGATGTAGTCAATGTCGGGTGTAACTGACCTTAGGTTAGATAGCAACGCATCACGGCCAGACAAGACCACTTGGAAAAAGCCATCTACCTCCTTTGCAAGAAGATCTAGTCCTCGAGAGAAATTATCCGTTGCATTGCCTAATTTCTCAACAGTTTTTGACTGTGATTCTGTCTCAACTGTATGTACAACACCTTGGATAATAGGGTGTAGTTCCCTCACAGACAAATCAACGGCTTCCAGCTCATTCAATAAAGTAAATCTCCCACTTGAAAATTTAACTCTAATCTCCTCATTAACAAGATTCTGCAGACCTTTAAAAGTTGGAGCCCAGGAATAAACTTCGGCCACATCTATATCCATCAAGTTCTTTGAAGAGCCTGAAAAAGCCGTAGCAAACACACTGCACACAAATACTGTCAGCGCCTTTACTCCATATATTGCTTGAATCAAAACCTTACCTTTTCCTGACTTTTTAACCTTTGGCATATCAGATGACTCAACCAGATTATCCAAAATGCTCCCACATTTTTCGATTCTAGGGTTTTTAGAACTCATATGCTGCCTCCAACCATCTAGTGAAGAACATGCCCGGAAAAGATGATCAGATGAGGAGGAGCCTAAATGGTGCAAAGTGCACTGAAGTAAAAGCTGACCCTGGTTTAGACGTGATAACTCGGAGCTAAAGGCATTGCATATATCCAGCAACTTCACACTAATGTCCAAGTACACATCTATCCATTTCTCATCCCAATCCGTCACAGGAAGCTCAAGGTCTGTCATGAGGGTTTTGATATCATTGTGACTTTCACAAAGTGTCCGCATAGCCGAAGCCATCCAAGACAAGCTGACGACTTCATCCTTGCTTTTAGGAATAAGGTTTTTCAGCCTCTCTTCCAAAGTTTCCTCAAAAGCACGTAATACTGCCAGTAGTTGCGGAGATAACTTAGTGGCTTTAGGTGATATCATCCGGAAAGGATTTCCAAAGGGGAAAAAAAATGATCTGGGTGGATCCTGTGGAAGACTCATTTAGATGCTTAACTGCAAAAAGAAAGATAAGAAAGTAAATAAATGAAGTCCATACAAATTCAATTATTTGTCACACAAAAAGCTGTCTGTATTAATGAAAAGCAATGGAAGGACAAAAGCTCTACATATATTTATTACTCCATTAATATGATAAACATTTAGTAATCCTTCTAAACTATAGCTGTAGCACACTAACACTATGCAATATGTTTCAGCCATAGTATGACATACAGTCACAATGTGATATGAAGGTTTAGCCTTAGCAAATGCATTGCTGCAATATGAAGGTTTTGGAGGCCTTTGCAAATGCATCACAGCCACATCAACCACATTCCTCTGCATTTATATGCAATATCAAGGGTCACAGAATAACTGCAGCAACAACCACAGTTTAAAACTTAGGTTTGACCAACAAATCCTAAACATCCAGCTACCGATGATAAGTTAAGCAAGCAAAACTCATAAGTAGCCAACTATTTACAAACAGAATTTACAAAATCAAAACTTTTCATTTTAGCTCCAGCCTTCATAATGTTGAAAATCCAGAGGTAAATCACAAATTAATAGCAATCTAACTAAACTTTCCCTACAAAAGCAACTTTTTTATATTTAAAAAATCTTCCTCCCATAACCTTGCTGCTACAAATAAAAACCCCATCCCTCAAGTTAAAATGAAAATTTCAAGCAATATCTACCTATCACTCCCTCATCAACCATATTCAAGCAATATCTACCTATCACTCCCTCATCAATCATATTCAAGCAATATCTACCTATCACTCCCTCATCAACCATATTCAAGCAACTATAAAATCATCCTTCATGGCTTGGTAGCAAAATATTACAATTTTCAAGCAAATCCTTGAACCTCGTCAACTACGTTAAATCGTGGACTTAGAAAACCTATCGAAACTAAAGAATTAATTGATTTACAAAATTTGACTAACAGACACAGAGTTAGGAAAATTGGGAATTTCTATTTCGAAATTGAAGGAGATAGAGAATGAAAGAACAAACCTGGAATAGATCGGATGGGAAGGAAATCGAGTAGGGTTAGAGAGTTTTGTTTTGCCTAGAGTTAGAAAATTGTGCTGTATTTTACTACTATGCAGTAGAAGAATACAATGTATTCGTGCATGTGCTACTTTCATTTTCTTACTAAAAAATTAACACGTTTTCAAAATAAAATATAAAATATTATATCCCAGACTTGAAGAGACAGTTTAATACTAATTTATAATATTTCTGTTAATCCAAACACTAATCAATCAATTTTTATAGTTTCTGATTCAACCAAGTACCAAAAGAGTTATATTATATATTAAGAGACATATAATGCATACTCCATTTAAGAAACTAGGATTACTGTTAAAAATTGTTAACAAAAATAATTTTTAAAAGTTTAAGAGTTAAATATCATTAATATTAGGATTAATATCATTTTACTTAGAAAAGTACTAATGCCGCTACTTGCTTTTTCACTCGATTCTCCAATAAGTTATCATAATTTTAAATGTGTTTACTTGATCAATTGAAGCATCGTAAAACATAATACTTAATTATTTTTTTAAAGACAAATTTTTAGTATCTCTTCTATTTACTGTTAATTTTTTTTTACTCATAATTAATACTAGTTAATAAATATTTGATCCACTCACTTATCTATTTTTATTTTACATTTTAAATGTAAGCATGGTTTCAAAAATTTATTCGCGATTATAAAATCAGCCGCAACAAAACGATATGAAGGTGAAGTTTGGAAATAAAACGATTAATCCCTTCTGTCGTGTATTCCCGATTAATGCAGCCTCAATATGCTTCAATTTTAGACCTCGCAACCGGACGAAAAAAAATGAAAGAGTTAGAAGAATTCATTTAGAAAAAGAAATGGAATTTTATTCGGCCGCCGCTTATCCATTTCTTTGTATTTTTTTTTCATTATATCTATTTATTGATAGGTGTTGATATTGATAATGTTATTTATTATTGTTATTTATTATTTTTATGTTAATAATAATTTATGGTTAATTCACATCACGATAATCGCATTTAGTGTCACAACACATGTACCAATTGAAATTAGGCATGATAAGGAAACTCAGACCCGTCCGGACCCGTTCTAAAATTAATCATTTTGTGGCCTATTAGGGCCAAAAATTGAGTTTATTGTTATATTTAAGTCTCTTCTATCTATTTGAGATAAAGATGTCAATCTTCATATCTCTGGATAGAAGAAACTTAAATAGGGGCGGCTGTAATACCCTAATTTTTACTCCTAAGATCTCATATATCATTCCACAAACAAGATCGCAAGCTTTGGTTCTTTGGCCTTCCTCTGTATGTTTATTCTTGAGAGATCACCGGACACCATTGTTTTCTTGTTTGTTTGATATTTGTTTATGTTTATGTTCACTAACCATTTTTTAAAACTCAAAAAATGTTCGTTTTTCCTTTACTAACTTTTTCATGAAGAATTTGGATATGAAATACTAGTCTCTCAGCTCGAATGAACTTCATCTGAACAAAGTCAAAGTTGATCTGCAAACAATTCAAAATCATCTTATCAAGAGTTTCCAAGGTTGAATTAATAATTATTCAAGAGACTCAAAGGTTCATGTGTTTATTTCCATACCTTCTTTGACAAGTAAAAAGAATAGATCCAGAGTCAAGACAACACATCAAAAAGCATTTTTTTCACATATTTTGCATGTGGTAATAGTCGTAACCCGAAATTTGACCTCCCTTTTTGCCTTTTGCATAAGCATGTGCATTCGCATCGCTGGTATACACATTTTCACTTTTCTCTGTGGTTTTTGTTGCAGGAATATTCAGGTTTTTCAAGCCCGATTAATCACATCCTTACAAAGATATCACATCATTAACATAAGCAAAAAATAAGGGTTTCTATGCCTATTCATCAAAGCAAAAGGTAAAAAATCGGAGCCTTGGTCACAACACCTTTTTTCAAGCAAATTGGGAAAAAATTTGGCTTGGTTAATTAATTAACCATTTGCTAGTACAAATGGGTTAATCGATTGACCCTTGTAAAATATGCAGATTTTGCTGCATTTTTAGAACAACAACTTGCACTCTACTATTTTGAGGGTCTACTTGGTTTTATCATTGTGTGGAACATTCTAGACATTTCTAGACCTTTCTAAACACTTCAAGGCATTTACTCCAATACATCAATTTGAATTGAGACCACCATGTAACTCCATTTGCAAGCACGAGAACCCTTTGATTTGAACTTGCATTGGGATTGCTACTGATAACGAGAAAACGCATCGATTATATTGCTAGGTTTCATTAACGTTTTATCGCATATTCACCGTTTTAACACTCGATTTCTCGAGTTTTTCTTACCATTTTGCAGGTACATCATTATATGGAGCTAAATCATGAATTAAGAGCAAAAGGAACAAAAGAAACCATAAAGAGATGAAGAAATGAAGAAGCCTGCAAAAGACTGCATAATTTGTTGCAGCCACGGCCGTCACAAGGGTGTCACGACCATGACGCCCCAATTTGAGCCATCACGACCGTAAGAGAGTGGTCACGACCGTGACACTTAAAAACCACAAGTTACGAACGTGAAGACCTTGTCACGACTGTGACAAGGGTAAAATTAGGTTTTTGACTCAGACTACGTCAAGGCATTACGTGAAGACCATTTCTCCTATTGGCATTACGTGAAGACCCTTTCTCCTATTTTGTTGCCACGTTCCTGCATTCCTTCCACAAATTCAGCAAGGCCCATGCAACAAAGGACCAAAAATCCAGCCCATTAAGGATTCTATAAATAGTACAAGTTCTATGAACAACACAGACATAGCATTTTTTATTCAAATTCCTGCGGAAGCTCTGCCGAACTGTATTACGAACCAGCCTTTCTATTCCTGCATTATTTTTAGTTTTCTGTTTCGTTTTTTATTGTATCCAAACCCGCCATATAACAATTTCCAACATCAGGAAATTGTTATACATTTTTATTTGTTTCTAAACCTTCAGCATTCGTTTATTTTCAATTTCCGCCAACTCCAAGCTTTCCGGTCTGTGGAAGAAGGAGTCTGCTCGAATATTTGTTAACCAGGTTTTTCATTATATTGCAATTTAATTTAATTATAATGTTTATTTATTTTTCTGCCATGAGTACGTTATTATTAAATTTTCTGTCTCTGTCTGGTTCAACATCGATGAGTAGCTAAACACCTTAGGGCGGTATGTAGTTATAACAAACTTAACCGGTAAAATATAACCATAGGCTAAAAATAATTAATCACTTAACATTCTGGCTGATACTTTTTAATTGAAATAGATCTTTTCGTTACGAGAGTAAGAAAAGAGTATTAGGTTAGGTCAAGACCACGAGAGTGTGAGATTTTAACCAGATAGCTAAAGTTAGGCATTTAAATTAAACACAGCGAGAGCGCTTTAAGATAAATTAGAATTACTTAGTTTCCAAAAATTACCTCTAAACACTTATGGGCTAGCGAGAGCAGGCATAGGGCTTTAGGGATAAGATCTGATATAAGACCACGAGAGTGTGAGTTGAGGGTATTTAAACTGGTAATCTCTACCGAATAGATTAAGTGAACACCTTTATAAGCCTAGGTTAGATTTACCCACCTAAGTTAGTATAATTACATACCGACCGCCTTAGTATTACTTTATTAAAACTTAAATTTAATTCCGCCTTTAATAGTCTTAAAAATCAACTAAAAATCGTGACAACCATTCGCCTTAGCTAAACTAGAAGTTCATCTAGCACTAAGTAACCATAGAATCCCTGTGGATCGATAATCTTAAATATTACTTCGATAGGTTGTGCACTTGCAGTAAGATACCGCTAGACGCATAAGTAGACACGTCTTTAGCCCATCAAGTTTTTGGCGCCGTTGTCGGGGATTCCTTAATTTAGTTACTAGTGCATTTAGGTAGCATTGTCTAGACTAAGGTATCAACTATTTAATTTAATCTAATCTCCGAGTGTATGCCAA